TTGGCTCAAGTGTATGTTTAGATTTTATTATTTTATTCAGGAATGGTTCAGCTTGCTAAGCCTTCGATTTGGAGTGAGGCTGAAAGTGACCCTGTTGTGATAGAGACCAGTATCTATTTAGCATGATAACAAATTAATTTACATTCGAAAAGCAGCAACATCTGTATCATAACAAGATAATTTGAATATATCAACAAAGTTGAAATGGTAAATTGGCCACCGTTACGATTATAAAAGCTGGCGTTTCGAGCGTTAGCCCTTCGTCGGAGCGAATAGGTCCGACGATGGGCTAGCGCTCGAAACGTCAGCTTTTATAATCGTAACTGTGGTTAATTTACCATTTCAACTTTGTTGATATATTCAAATTATTTCGTTACCCCCACCGACGCAGCCCCAAACAGTTTCTTTAGAAACTATCAGCCTTTATTCATTTGTATCATAACAAGGTCACCCTTAGCCCTATTTAAGTGCTTGGCAACCTAGCATGCAACTGTAAAATGGACTATTTTAGCACTGTAATATAATGACTGTCGTTACTACCAACTTTGACATATGATTGGTCTTTTGCTGGTACTTGTTGACAGGAATTTCTTCAATATTTTTTCCAGAGATCTTTGCATTACAACAAGAACATTTGAAGCTTAGTTACCAGGCTTTAGATCAGATGCGAAAAATGGACATTCACGACGCCTTTTTTTAAATGTTCCCACAGATAAGCCACACTGCCAATTTCTAGCGACGAGTTTTGGAAAAAGGGTGTGGCTTATCCGCGGGCTTTTACGGTTATCTATTTGAGTTTTCAGAATTAAGCTTTTCAGAAGATCATTTAGACCATGAACTAAAAGATTGAAAAAATTAACAAAAGACCTTGTGCTGGTTTATTGTACTCGAAATTTACCTCTATCGCGTGCTGTTCGTCAAAATTCATTTTAAGGTAATTGTGAAAGTTCAAAATGACTGTCTATTAATTTGGATGTATCAACAAAGTTGAAATGGTAAATTGGCCACCGTAACGATTACAGAAGCTGACGTTTCGAGCGTTAGTCCTTCGTCGGAGCGAATAGAGGAATTGTGGGTTGTATCTGCTTTTAAATGCAGAAAATGGAGCTACGTTATTGGTGGGAACATGGCAACGAGAAATACACGAATAAATTAGGGGAATGAAAAGCGTCTATTAACTTGTTTCTGAATTTGTTTTCATTATGTCGGCCAACTGTCGGTGACCTGTCGGCCGACAGATATTTTGGGAAGCTCTTCTTCAATTTTACCTCCTTTTCAGCTCTATTTGTGTGGGCAGAGACTGTGATGAAGCTGTCAGTTTACAAATTTTCAATAGGGATGTGAATGTGATCCAAAATCAAGATCCCCACTAGATTTTGGATTTCTACAGAGCAAACCTCATGGTAACTTCTTGCTCTGAGACCTGTGAAGTGCAATTGGCTCAACTGTATGTTTAGATTTTACTATTTTATTCATGAATGGTTCAGCTTTGCGTGTCTCTTTCTCCTTTTGTCGTTTTCAGTTGATTGGTGACATCTCACTAATTGAAGCAGCTGAGAAAGGTTACTCTAACAGAGTTTCGCTGCTTATAGAGAAAGGAGCTGATGTCAACCAAAGAGGGAGAGTGGTATGTTTTGAGCTTAACTGTATTTTTATCTAGATTTGTGTCACAGTTTTGAATTTACATTTCGGAAGACAGATGACAGTTTGTTACTGTTCAGTGGAATTCTTGTGCTTTTAGATCACAGTGACTCATGGGGTCTGTTATATTTCTTTTGAACCAATCTTTCAACGAGAACTTGGGAGTCCTTCCATTTGGTGCCTGTTTCAAACAAAGAGAAGGAAGTTGTTTGACTTACTGGGTCTTTTTTTTTTTAATAACTCCATCAATTCTCAGCGCAGAGTGCTCTGTCGCTCGCACCAATCAGATCGCCCCAATTTTTTTTTTGTATCGCAAACCAATCAATCCCATACCAATCAGAATACCGCGTTATTCCTGTATCGCAAACCAGTCAGATTGCCGCATTAGGGTTTGTATCCCGTACCAATCAGATTGCCGCACTAGGGTATGTATTCCGCACCTATAAGATCACAGCATTGGGGTAGGCTTGCACCAATATGTACATCAACATTCAACCATACATTACATGTAAAACAAAAAATTAATGAAATGGAATTTGAATGATCATGAGAAGGTGGATGTAATTTTGATGGTTGTTGCTGATTTCTCTTTATATGAATGTAACATTCTCGTGTTATTTTGCATGATTCCCTTGCTGACACAATTCGTAATAAAACTCTGTAGAAATATTGAGTGATTAATTAATAGACATGGTTGTTTTGTGGTCACAAAAATATCAATGAAATAATAATGTTGTACTAAATAGCTTTAGAGCTTTGGGAAAACTTTGAAATATTGTTTTGATTATAATGAGGTAAGATAAAAGAATTTATTTTAATTACTGAGAGTGGAATAATTTTTTAAGGAAATAGTCCAGAAATATTCAAAGTGGGAAAATGAATAATTATATGTGGTTTGAATTTGGGATTGTCTGCACTAGAAAAAAAAATAAGAATTTGTTGATAGAAGGTTTTTAGGATAAACATCTCGTAGAGTGTGTATAGTGCATGTTTTGAGAGGGCATTTGTCTCTCTGTAAAAGGTCACAAATACCATAAAGTATGAACTGTGGGGCCTTGCTACTACCATAAGTGGGCTAGGTAGATTTGGTCATGATATCATGCAACATGATATGGTTGGATAAAAAAGATTAGGTAAAAAAACATAAAAATCCTTTGTGACAGAGAAGCCATGTCAAATGTACCTTTTAATTTTTTTGAATACAGATTATTGAACTGATAACTTCTTTTGAGAGTGAAATTCACAGAGGATTGATTTCCCAACAGGGTGGGGCAAATTCTCCAGGTAAGTTCAAGCCATTTCAGTGTAAACTAATGTTGCATAGCAAATATGATTCTCATGCTTATTCAGCCCTTCCATCAACATCCACTTTTCAAAGCATAAAGCTTGATTAAACTTGAAAAACTTCACATCAGCAGAGATGTGAACTCCATATCAGAGAAAATGCTGCTGAGGAGGTTTAAATTTGGATCACATCCCTGGCCTTTCTTTCCCTAATTTCAATTTTTTTGGCTCTCATTAATTTTGCCTTTTGGTCGCCCTCAAAAGTTTCAGTTTGCTTTATGTTGCAACAATAGATTGAAAAAAAATCTGGTGTAGTGATGAGCATAATTTTTTCCTTTTGAACCCATCAACATATAATTACTTTTTAGCTCTAGATTTAATGGATGTTGGAAACATTGAAGAGTGGTTGAAGCAATATGATTATGAGGTTTTCATAAATCCTAAAGAGAGTCCTTTGCAGGTAAAAAATTATCTTATGCCAATAGGATGGTGCCCTTCTTCATTTATATCTTTTCATTGATCTCCAAATCAAAAATAATCCTAGAAACATGCATTGTATTGAAACACTACCAATAAAGGAAGTTCAACATTGTCTTTAATGTGGTAGTCATAGCTGACTGTAATTTTCAAAATGAAACAAAACAACATGAAAATCTGTAATTTTGCTAAATAGAAATCTAAATGGGTTTCTATCTCACAAATTACAGATTTCTATTTTACAAATCACTAACAGTTTTCTATTTTGCAAATCATTTAACGCTTTTTTATTTTTGCAAATCATTAGAGATTTCTATTTTGCAAATCATTAACAGATTTCTATTTTGCCAATCATTAACAGATTTCTATCTTGCAAATTACAGATTTCTATTTCCCAAATTTANAGTTACTCAATGTGTTCCATCTCAGCCCACCCATCCAAAAAAATTACTCCTGCATGTTTGGACTTATTGGTAAACACTCCTAGAGCATTGTGTACTGAAAGAACTGTGACAATTTGTGCTTAGAGTTTTGTTTGTAAGACGTGATTATCGAATTGCGTTACATAAGGTAATGTCACGCCATGCAGCCACGTACTGACATCGGACACCGTTAAGGTATATGAACTTTGCATGTACGAGACATCGAGTCTTTTGTTTTGCTAAGCATGTGCTGCTAGCCATTTTTTTGATTGCCGAATAAAAGCTGTTACAAAGCCTCAACCTCTGCAGTATTGATAAAATTAGCTGCTTCTTAAAATTGTGAACTTTTTCCTGTAGCTGGTGGTAACTGAAGTTAAAAAATAACGTAAAAATGGAGGGGACAGGGGGATGGGAGCACAGGAGCAGGGGGCGGGAGAGGGTGGGAAGGGGGATCTATCTGAGGATGGAAAGCAAGAGCAAAAATTAAAAAGGCACTTGTTGGCTGTTTAAATTAATGCTTATCATCCAGTCAAACACCAGTACCCAGCAAAGGCATAAAATAAAAATTTTATAAGCAAGAAAACACAATTTTTTCTTTAAGGCTGAAAAAAAATGTAACCAGGATATCTTATAAAGTTGGTTTCATCGTGACCCTCCCATCCCCCCTTCCCCTACAAACAAAACCCTATACTCTACTTTCTCAGCACAAGCTTCAAAGTTGACTCGCTAAAGCCTTGTTAGGGATATCTGAAAAGCTCCCATAGAAATACAAGTTCATTAAGCCTTTTCTGTTCCTTAAATTATCATTGGCTGCAGCTTGGATTATAAACTTACCAGTTATGCTAATTTCTCTTTAATGGTAATAACATACTTTATAATCAGGACAAATATCATTGATTTATGGAGGCATTTCAATGTTGTTTTTACCATTTTATCTATAGCCTCACCTGAAATGACACCTGATGTCATTTCGGTCTTGCTCATTTCAACGAACACTGGTGAAATTCTGGGAGAGACCTGTGTAGAGTACTGTGGAGTGGAGAAGGAAGGGATTTGGCAGACTATTCAAAGAATTACATCTGACCCAAATTTACAGAGGATATTGTTGCTACTGTACATGCGAAATAATTTAGGTGGAAAGCCTGGAGCCTGTGGTAGTGGAAGAAGAGGAGATAGTAACAATGATGGTGGGGCCAGTGGAGGTGGTGCTTATGGAGGAGGAAGCAGTGGAGAAGGGGCCAGTGGAAGTGGATCCAGTGGTGATGGTAGCAGTGCAACTGGAGTAAGTGGATGTGGAAGCGGTGGATGTGGAACCTATGGAGGTGGAGCTACTGGATGTCAGTACAGTAGGGGTGAAAATTAAACTTTGAATATTCTCTGTAAATTTTTTGTAATTGAAATCAAATTCCTAGTTACTGGTATTGGTTAGATGCACCAAAGGACAAACTTAAGGAATCTTAGAAAAAGCAGCAGTCAGCTACTTGCTGACTTTTTATATGCGACAGTTTGAGTGTGACATAGGGAACTTCAACTAAATAAGGGGTAAAGGGAAATTGAAGAGAGACTTAATTAGTTAAACACCTTTTCCAAGATCATAATGAATAGTATCTGTTCAGGTGAAGTTTGTGGGTGCAAGTTAAATGTTTTTCAGATATCATGCAATTATTTCCTTGTTTTTTTGTCACCTACTTATGATAAATGATATCAGACAAATATAGTAAAAAGTTATTAAGGTGAAGAATAAGGTTGAATCAGGACAATTTTTCTTGCTAGGATTGTGAAAAGGAAACATATCATCTTAGAGTAGTTGCATTTACTAAACTTGAATTAACATTTTGTTCTTATTATTAATCTCATCTTTGAAAGGCAGTCTGCACTGATGTTCATGTTTCATTTTGATTGTGTTTAATCTCAGATGCCTCACAACTAGGCTCAGATGTGGTGAATGAGTTGTGTGAACTATTACAAAAGTGCAGTGTCTGTATCTGGAGGCAGAACCCATCCGTCATACAAAATAAAGGTAAATACATCAAAGAGTCAAGGTGAAGCAAGTATGAAGTTGGCATCTGAGTATCATTAAACCCAGTTACTGGGAGGCTTAATTTGTTTGGATTGACTTAGCACCGATCCTGGTTGGTCAAAGTAAATGATTTAGAAGATTTCCTAGCTAATATAATTTGCAATGGTAATTTCTTGGACTTAAAGTGAAGTCCAGTTCAGTCATAGACCACTTTCATAAATGGCTGCGGGATTAATATTCTTTTGTTTAAATTTAAATTAGCCTTTCTGGCTTTGCTTGAGATAGTGTAATCTTTTGAATTTTGTACTGGAGAATGAGGCCAGAAGGGCTAATTTAAATTTAAACAAAAGAATATTAATCTGGCAGCCATTTATGAAAGTGGTCTATTGTAATCATGACTAATAAAGAAAATCAAATGACTGAAATTCACAAGACAGATTACAGAAAGAATTGAACAATGTTAAGCCCATGGTCCATAAATCAAAATTACAATGAAGTGTGAAAAACAGTGGTTAAAGACCTAGGTCCCCTGAGAGGACATTAGTTTACTGGTAATTAATAATAAAGTGAGTTATAAACATTGTCCACATGAATTGAATTTGTAGTATTTTACACAAAATTGACAGTGAATGCTGTAATTTAATTTTTTTTGGACCTATCAAAAGAATTTGCAAAAAGGGAGGTTTTGTAGTGTGCCAATGTTCAGAGACAGGGTGTAGGATGAGCATGTGTCATTGCTACACTGTGAAGTTTTTTTAGGGGGGGATTGGCTGTAGTTTTAGTTGTCTGTAAGTACCAACAAGTAAACTTGAACAAATTTTGTGTTTACAAATTCAAAATAATTATGTATTATATTATTATATTAGAAGTCTCATACATTATGGTATTTGATAGAGAAAAAAAAGGAAAAGCAAATTTTTGAAGTGAAAAAAAAAATTGAAGTAATTCACCTCATCTTCAGTACATGCAATGAGAAGGAACACTTCACATGAAAATTTATGACTGAGAAAAACTTCACCAATAATTCCCCAAAAAATACCAAAAGCTAACAATAAAGGTACTTCACCCATTTGCCTTACATAGCAATTTTGAAATGTAACCACAGGTAGCAAATATCTGGCAGAGAAAATGAAGGAAAGTCCACTATATACACTTAACTTTGAGGAGCAAAGATTTAAACTCTCATTACTATTGAATAGACTATCATTTATTTCTATCTTTTTAATCCAGATTCTTCACTTCCATTCCCCTGGGTGAATTCTATATCAACCAAATCTCAAGAAGCCATTCTCAAAACAGAATCAACTCAACATTTACACAAAGCTGTTCACAATGAACTTGATGTGAACCATGAAATCCCAGCAACAATGACAGAGGCCTTTACAAATGAGCCTAACATTGTTGGAAATAAATATGTTGGAAGTGGTGATTGTCTTAAAGGGAACACACCTTCACCAGATTTAGAGTCAAAAAAGTCTGAAGAAATTAGTAGAGGCTCCAGGTTTCAAATTCTGTTTTGATTTAACAGAAACTTGTCCAAAGAAATACTGGTAGTAATTAAGGACTGTGGCATTAAATTGAAGAAACACAGTAGTTGAGACAAGTTGTGTATTTTTGATCAGCTCACTTTCAAACCTGTGTTTCATGTTTGTCCTCCAAATACAATTCCATTCATAAGCCATCCCCAAATTTCTCAGAAAGTTGGATTTGAGACCAGGTGTTTTTTAAAGCAGGACAATCTCAAAAACCTGTTCCATTTTTAAGACCAACTCAGTATTTGCACAATATCTTGAGAAGGAAACTATAATGTGAGCCATTCTATTCCACTCAGTTATGGAAGGTTTGGCCAGTTGTTTTGATCTTTGTGAGAATGAAGATGCTGGAAAGAATGAACCTTCAAGATGGGACATGTCATATATGGAACCAAATAAGACTGATGGAGGTGTGGAGAAAGATGTCTTGGACTCGGAGCAAGACTTAAGCCAGGAACAGGGGCTCTTTTCTGAGAAAGGGAACTTGGATATTCACTTATCATCACCAGATGATTCCTCCGTTCAGAGTCTTGGTCCTGAAGTGGAGAATAACAAGAGCCAGGTGTGTTTGTTATGTAGAGTTTTGTTAAAGTTTGGAAGTTAGATCCTTGAAGACATATGACTCATTTTGTAAACCTTAGATAAATCATTAAAATTAATATACCTTTGCATGGTCATAAATCCTTGATACTGATTCAGAACTTATTTCAAAACATTCAAGTAATTTTTTTATGCAATATGGCCATCTTAAAAAACAGTTCCTGAACACTAAAGCAGCAAAGTTCATATAAATGGCAGCCACATTCATATTGCAAGTTTTTATCTCAACTGTTGAATAAAAATTAAAAGAAGCCCATCTTTCTTACTCTATTTACACACTTAGTGTTTATTGCATTACTGATCTAGGCAGTTTTCAGTGACACAAATATGAACTTAGTTTGTATAGGCTTAATTCACCAATGAGTCCCTATAGTAAGGTGGTAGAGAGTCAGCTGACTACAATACCACAAGGCCTGAGGTTTGATTCCTCATGGGAGACACAATTTTGTTGTTGTTCACAGTTGTTGTTGTTTTTACAACAAGCATTCCCTGCTTTTTGCCAAAGTCTGTCTCATGAGTAAAAATATAAGTGAAAAAATTGATTTAAAAGTGCCACGCTGAACTTTGGGAGGGAGGCGCACAAGAAGGTGGGTCTCTACTCACAAAGTGGTCGGAAAGTAGGGCCCCACCTTCTTGTGCACCTCACTCTTAGAGTTCAGCACAGCACACTAACCTCAAATTGTTTTTTGCCAACAAACCTCACCGAAGAGCAGGGACTGCTCATAGTCATGGCTTTTTCCTCACTCTTGACGAAATGTTTGTCATCTTCCCTCACATTTTACCATCTTCCTCAATTCATTTAACAAAAACATTGCATCTTTGATAATTACTGAAATGATTGATATCTGTGGAGAATGTGGTTGCCTATTCCAAGTGTTTATTTAATAAAAGGAAGTGTGATCATAGACACCAGTTAGTATAAATTGCACATCACTTACTGGTCATCAAGAATGTAAGTGTGCCCATTCAAAAGGTCATAGTAAGTTAACATATTATAACAAACCTTGGGAAATCTAGAGAATTACCAAGTCTCCTGAAATGATATACCAGTTTCTGTGCAATGGTAGTCATATTCTTGAGAATGTTTTTTCGAGTTTGGATCACGTGCTTCTTTCTCGGCTATTTTTGTGTGGCCAGAGACTGTTAAGAAGCTGTCAATCTACAAATTTACAATGGGGGYGGGGGGGGGGGGGGAGGAAGAAATTTGATCCAAAATCAAAACCCTCCAGATTTCGTATTTCCACAGAGCAAAACTCACGGTAACTTCTTGCTCCAAGACCTGTGAATTGTAGTTGGCCCAAATGGTATGTTTGAATTTTATTATTTTATTCGTGAATGGTTCAGCTTTGCATGTCTCTCTCTATTTTTTTTCCTTTTCAGTTGATTGGTGAAACTTCCATAATTGAAGCAGCTGAGAGTGATTCCACTGACACTGTTCTACTGCTTACAGAGAAAGGAGCTGATGTCAACCAAAGAGAGATAGTGGTATATTTTAAGCTCAACTGTATTTTCAACTAAATTTTTGTTGCAGTCTTGAAATTACATTTCGGAAGACAGATGACAGTTTGGTACTGTTCAGTGAAATTCTCATGCTTTTAAATCGCGGTGACTCATGGGATTTGTTATATTTCTTTTCAACCAATATTTCAACGAGCACTTGGTAGTCCTTCCATTTGGTGACCAGAAATGAAAAACCTTTAAAGGTTTGAAACTCTTGTTTAAACGGGAGGAAACTATGCATAGAAAGAAGCCATGTCAATGCTGAGGGGGTCATTGTAATGCTCTTAACTCAGTGTCGAAAACGCACCATGCAACACGTTTCCTAATTAATCAGTTCCTTTATTCTAGCAATCACTCCGCTTAAACTCCATGTTTAACTACAGCATCAACCAACAAGAGCGCATGCAGGATCGCTGTGTTTAACTAAGAATCTACGTTTTACCTAGGACTACATTCTGAGAAATTGAGTGAAGTCATTTCCGGTCATGCACAACAAAGAAGAATAACAACAAACGAATTAAGGCATTGTTCACGGTTCCCGACACTCATAAAATTATATTTGTAATTTAGAGTTTAGCGTGGTTATGTGCTGAAAATGTTAGAGGTGATTTTTCAGTATAATTGATCATCTTTTACCTGGCATTAAAAAAACAACAACAACAACAACACATAATCAAGCGAATGACCTTGCATACAGAAGGCAAAACTCCCTCCGATCTTATGATTAAGTAGCACCTACGGAGTATAGTCGTCTCAAACGCATATTGAAGTATATATCCAGACGTTGGTCATTACGGAAGAGAATATAAGCTTTATATATTAGTGTACCTTCTCTAATTTTTGTCTTTCCTAGATTGATGAGAAGATTCCACTCACTGCAGCTACAGAGAATGGTCACAAGGATATTGTTAGGTTGCCTAAAGAGAACGGAGCTGATGTCAACAAAGGAAGAAGGGTACGTTAGAAGCATAAAATTAAATTTGTAATGTAGAGTTAAGTGAAAATTTGATGGTCAAATTTTGTTTGGCTTTTCAGTTGTTTTTGCTATTGAGCAAACTGTCGTAAGAAGTAGTGAGGTATTTCTGTTTCCTTCTCGTTGTTTCTTTTGTAGCGTGATAGTGCCGCCTTAGGCATTAGGATAAATAACAAGGCAAACCTGGCCACAAAAGATTTGGACTAAAAATTTTTTTAAAAGAACGGCAGAATTTGTTAGAATCGCAAACATTTGGATGCCCTGAACTTTTATTGCTAAGTGCAACAGGTTCATCATGATTAAGTCGCTTTTCCCTCAATTTAACTGCTGGGAAATTGCGTGGTGATAAATTGAAAATGTTGAAGGTGATTTGTCAGTGTCGTTGCGTATTCTGTACCCCGCATTAAAAAAACAACAGAAATAGCACAAGAGGAAAACATGTAATGAAGGGAATAAGCTCGCGTACACTGCTAGAACATGGTATTGTTTTGTAATTAATGAACCAAATAAAGAGAGACGATTGGATATTGCTCCAAAATGATAACGGTGAGCTGTATTTCTTATTTCATAGTTTTGGTGTACAAATTTTTGTTAAGTGGTACTTGAAAAAGTATTCGCTTAAAAAGTTAAACGCCCATTAGTTCCAAATCGAGTATTATGTAGTTTATATACTTTATATAGTTTTGTGTGATTTTGCAGAATTTCTCGTCTGTGGCGCTTGGCCATGCTTAGAATACTAAAATTGTTTTCGGACACAAAGTCGATGGGAGATGTTAGCATTCTAGGAAAGGCGAGTCCGGCATTTCTGGTTTTTAAGTTAACTTTAATGGAATCAAAGATCGAGAACTTTCCGCCACGCTTGAGAGGCAGGAAAGCCTTTTCTAAGGTAAGTTTTAGAGTACTCTTTGAATTGGTCACTGGCGAAGCCTGACAGCATTTGGAGACAGGAGATAAGTGGAAAAATCTTCTTGATGACAGCAAGATGACAGCATTCGTTGGACTATTAAAGAGTTACCTCGAGATTTTTTTTAAATTGGCCCTCGACACAAAAAAATATGTGAAAGTGAAAGACAAAAAGAGTGTTTTTCCTATCGATGAAATGTGCCCAAAGTTTTTTTAAGTGGTTAATGATTAAGCTAAGAAACCTATTATTTGGCAGATAGCCCAATGTGTTCTCCACAACATAGTCAAATTACCCATTGACACCCTAATTATAACCATAAGTCAAACGATTTATTTTATGGTTGTGAGCAACTT